CTGCAGTTCATTAGAAGTTGTCCTCGGGTCTTTTGTGACCTCTCGGATGAGTTGTCTCTGCACTCTTGGGGTAATTTTGGTCGGCCGCCCGCTCCTGGTTAGGTTCACCACTGTTCCATGTTGTTGCCATTTGTGGATAATGGCTCTCACTGTGGTTTGCTAGAGGCCCAAAGCTTTAGAAATGGCTTTATAACCTTTACCAGACTGATGGATCTCAATTACTTTTTTTCTCATTTGATCTTGAATTTCTTTGGATCTTGGCAAGATGTCTAGCTTTTGAGGTGCTTTTGGTCTACTTCTCTGTGTCAGGCAGCTCATACAAGCGGCTGAAATGAGTTTTCTCTGAAGAGTGGCTGGGCTCTCCCTTAGAGATAGGATGAGAAGCTCGGTCATTCGGGAGGGGCTCGGAGTAGACCCACTGCTCCTCCACATCGAGAGGAGCCAGTTGAGGTGGCTCAGGCATCTGGTCAGGATGTCTCCTGGATGCCTCCCTGGTGAGGTTTTCTGGGCAAGTCCAACCAGAAGAAGACAAAGGTAGACCCAGGACACGGTGGAGGGACTATATCTCTCACCTGGCCAGGGAACGCCTTGGGATTCCCCCGGAGGAGCTAGCCCAAGTGGCTGGGGAGAGGGAAGTCTGGGCCTCTCGCCTTAGGATACTGCCCCCGCGACCTGACTCCGGATAAGCGGATGAAAACAGATGGATAGATGTAATGGTACAGAATAAGAACCATAAATCAAACTTATACATTTCAATACTTGGTTGCAAATCCTTTGCAGTCAATTACAGCCTGAAGTCTGGAACATATAGACATCACCAGACGTTGGGTTTCATCCCTGGTGATGCTCTGCCAGGCCTCTACTGCAACAGTTTTCAGTTCCTGCTTGTTCCTGGGGCATTTTCCCTTCAGTTTTGTCTTCAGCAAGTGAAATGCATGCTCAATCGGATTCAGGTCAGGTGATTGACTTGGCCATTGCAAAACAGTCCACTTCTTTCCCTTCAAAAACTCTTTGGTTGCTTTTGCAGTATGCTTTGGGTCAATGTCCATCTGCACTGTGAAGCGCCGTCCAATGAGTTCTGAGGCATTTCAGAATTCATCGTGCTGCTTTTGTCAGCAGTCACATCATCAATACATACAAGAGAACCAGTTCCACTGACAGCCATACATGCCCACACCATGACACTTCCAGCACCATGCTTCACTGATGAGGTGGTATGCTTAGGATCATGAGCAGTTCCTTTCCGTCTCTATACTCTTCTCTTCCCATCACTCTGGTACAAGTGGATCTTGGTCTCATCTGTCCGTAGGATGTTGTTCCAGAACGGTGAAGGCTTTTTTAGATGTTGTTTGGCAAACTCTAATCTGGCCTTCCTGTTTTTGGGGCTCACCAACGGTTTACATCTTGTGGTGAACTCTCTGTATTCACACTGGTGGAGTCTTCTCTTGATTGTTGACTTTGACACAGATACACCTACCTCCTGGAGAGTGTTCTTGATCTGGCTAACTGTTGTGAAGGGTGTTTTCTTCACCAGAAAGGATTCTTCGGTCATCCACCACAGTTGTTTTCCATGGTCTTCTGGGTGTTTTGGTGTTTCTGAACTAACTGGCGCGTTCCTTCTTTTTGAGAATGCTCCAAACTGTTGTTTTGGCCACGCCTAATGTTTTTACTATCTTTCTGATCGTTTCTTTTGTTTTTTCAGCCTAATGATGGCTTGCTTCACTGATAGTGACAGCTCTTTGGATCTCATCTTGGCAGTTGACAGCAACAGATTCCAAATGCAAAAAACACACTTGAAATGAACTCTGGACCTTTAATCTGCTCATTGTAATTGGGATAATGAGGGAATAACACACACCTGGCCATGGAACAGCTGAGAAGCCAATTGTCCCATTACTTTTGGTCCCTTAACAAGTGGGAGGTACATATGCAAACTGTTGTAATTCCTACACCGTTCACCTGATTTGGATGTAAATACCTCAAATAAAAGCTGACAGTCTGCACTTAAAGCATATCTTGTTTGTTTCATTTGATATCCATTGTGGTGTATAGAGACAAAAATGTTAGCATTGTGTCAATGTCCCAATATTTATGGACCTGACTGTATATGTATGTATGTAGGTATGTATTAAAAAGCTCTCTGTTTGATAAAAAAAATTATTGCCCTGAAAGTTCAAACAAATAATTTCAGCTGCTGTTGCATTGGTGGCTTTTCAGGTGGAGTGATTCACCACTCCTGCCCTGGCTGAGGTGACCTGAACCAGACAAACACAAATAATTTAAGTCTAAATTTGGAGTATCTGTACTTTACTGGAGTAATTATCTGATGGCTGACTTTTTACTTCTATTTCTTACATTTTATAAATAGCTTCATTATCCTGTTTTTATTTCGGCTTGTCATTGTTAAACTTATCCAGATAAATTGTACTACATGGACGGTGAAATCGATTGGATAACTTCCACTTCCTGTTTCAGGAAATAGAAGTTAGCCAGAGGAGAGGTGAACAAATGATAGCAAAATTTGGAGTTTTACTTCCTGATATTCTGACATCTCTCCTCTGACTGGCTAACAGGAATGCACCTCTATCACTAACTCTGTTTGCTATGCAACGCTGATGTTTTATCTCCACAAATAAAACAAGCATGGACGAGTGTTGCTGTGTGGTGGAGTTGCTAATGCTAACGTTTAGCTGCGGACGAGTTTTGCTGTGTGGTGGAGTTGCTAATGCTAACGTTTAGCTTCTACTAGCCGAGATGCACTCTTCTTTTTCTTTGCCGCTAAATCTGTGTAGCTTTTCAAACCCGAGAGTTTCCCATCTTTTACTATCGGCGGCTAATGCAGAAAACAATGGTGATAGACTATTTTCACAAAGTCTACATGTGAAACTCAGAGTGACTGATCATATAAAAAAGTTAAAAACAGTGAACTTACTCTTTAAAATATTTGCATTCCACTACAGGCGCACATATTTCCGACTGAATCCATTAGCCTAGTGTTTCCCAAATTTGTAAACATTAATATTTTTATTCAATATTACTGTTATTGCCTTTTATAAAAGTTTTTTGATTAGATGTGGTGCTGTGGCACAGCTTATGGCTTTATTTTTACTTACATTACTTTTAGTTATATACTTTAAATAGTTTTGAAACCAGTATAAAGTTTTGATTCTTCAACTACCACAGAAGTCTTTTTAAACTCTAGTATTTATATTTCTACCCAAGTAATGAATGTAAATACGTTTGACATCTCTGACAAACACATTCTAGATGCACACGGACAACCAACGAGTCAGGACGTCGGTGGACCAGACATGTGGATAGGAAGTCACAGATAAGGGCAGCTATGAATTCAGAATAAAATATCTTTCAAACACATTATAACAAAGTCAAAGTGAACCCACTGAACCTTTTTCCTTTAACATATCCATTACTGAAGAGCGTTAAAGCATTGAGATGTTTCAGTCAGCAGATGTGCAAGTCCACACCTAACTTGTGTTTATTTTTGTGCAATTAGGAACAAACGCTTAGTCAACCGAGCTTTCAAGCCTCACACAATGAGCGTGAGACACATGCTTTTTCCTGAATTCACACACACACACGCGCGCGCACACACACACACACAAACATTCCTCACAATGGGGAAAAAACAAAACAATGTCAGCAAACTTCCTAGTTTTTGTTGCAAATTCCTGACTTTACAATTTTAAATGATGAACAATAAATGACCCGCACTTGTATAGCGCCTTTCAGAGTCAGAGGACTCAAAAGCACTTTACACTTTTGATAGAATATCCCAATTTTAACATAACGTTTGCCTTTAAATGATGGAAAACTGTCATCTTTTTTGTAAATGTACAACTTCTTCTGAGAACAGCAAAGTTTCTCCTTGTAAATAAATGAAATAAATCTAGAAACTTCTGGGTATTTATTTTTTGTTGTTTTTTGCAGAAATTTACTCTGTACCTGACATTAAACTTCAGAGCTGTGAATAGCAAAAACATATTTGTGCTAAGGTAAGCCTCTAAATATGTAAAGGTGTGATTGTGCAAATACATTTCACTTTAGAATTTTGCAAATCGGCTAATGTTTAGCTTATCAGCTAACTGGCTAAGGAGCTAAAGCAGAAAACATTTCATCTTATGAGAAATTAGCGAAGAAATGTTTTAGTACACTATGTATAAAATATCACATAAAAAATACATAAAATCTAGTTGCTAACACATTATGCTCTCTACCATCTGCTAGCTAAGTCATTCAAACTTGTAATGTCCCATATAGAATTATAACATATAAGATACATACAATAAATATATCTTAGTGGAATCATGCTAAATAGGTTACTGGTACATAAATGAGCTAATCAGTGATTAGCCAGTAATTAATAATCACCCAGTGACTGGCTAATGAACTTAGCTAACTAGCTAATGCAAAAACATGGTTTTACATCCAACAGTAAATCAGTACAAATGCATTTTTTTTCTCAGTGCTTTTCATTTATGATTATTTGTGAACATGAATTGTTTTAATGTAACTTTTATTTGCTTGATTGAATGAAAGAAACAAAACAAACGAAGGAATATAATTGAGCTCGATTGCACGTTTTTGTTTACATTCGGCTAAGGTTTAGGCAAACTAGCTAATGTGCTAAAATAATCTTGAGCTCATTTTCCTTAATTTTTATGGTTATTAGAAAATTTTTTTTTGCACATTAATGAACTTTTTAGTATCTTTGATTTTTTATTTTTAAAAAATTACCATCAACTGAATAGATGGAGATCAGACCAAACCTTTCACATGCAAAAATTTAATCTACCTGTGGCACTTTGGTAAATGTACTTTCCACACAACTTTATGAACATTAATCTAAAAGCATGAGTTTTATTTCCATCGCTCAGTTTAGTAAGTTAAAATGTTAACTTGAACAAGGAGATATAGGTTAAAGCCTATAAGCAGGTTTGATGAAGAAAACTCAACAAGCAAAGTCAGAATGAAGAATAAAATTAAAAATATGATAAAAACATTTAATAGATGAACATGTATACAAAATTATTTATAAACACTGTTGGATGCTTTGGATTTTTGTAAAACACAAAACACAAAAGGTGAAAAACAAAAAAGAAGTCACTTCAGCTTTAATAACAGGAAACAGGCCTAGAGTCCAGTTTAGCTTGATTAACACGTCGTCTCTGTTCCCTTTATTCCTTTGGTCTGAACAAGCAGACATAAAACATCAAAATCATCTGAGGAACACACACAATACTGTTTATACAGATATACACAAAACTCCTAAACCACCCTCTTTTAAAAACATTTTAATTCTTATTTATAAAATATTTAAGAGGTTTTAAGCATTTCCTTAGCTTTCTAGTGAGTGTCTTTGTTCATAATCCTTGAAATATATTACATTTCCTACACAATACTCCTGCCTTGAGCAGATCTTTTGTTGTCATTTCCTTTTCGTTAACATTAATCCATCTTGCACACTTTATATGCCATTTATTCCCTTTTGACACTCATCCAAAACAGGATTTTCATGTATTGAATGTGTCACTCCCTTTATGTCTCCTTTTGGAAAATGTGTGCCGTCTGCTTATTTTAATACCTGAAGTGTTTAACTGAAACAACACACTGGTTACATATAATTTGGTGTGCATAGATATGTTAAAGTGCAAATAGTACTTGGTTTAAAAAAAAAAAAAAACAACTTTACAATTTCATCTCCCGAGTTAGTTCCTAACTTTTCCAGGAAACGCATCATGTTCATAAATTTCCAGTTTGCTGTGTGATGATTTAAACAAGCCATCCACTCAAGAGTCCTTCCTTTCCCCATCTCTTTGGTTGTAATTCCTCAGTTACCCTGCTGGGGGCGGCGTTTCTTCAGAGTGTCTACTTTTCATCTACAATAATGATTTCCTCTGGGATCTTCTGCTCTGAATCGGAGCAATCCGACAGCTTGTCCAGGTAGTCTATGTCGTTGAAGCGCTCGACCACACACTGCGCCGTTAGGCGGGCCTCTGGGTCATGTTCCCAGCACTCCTGTATGGTGGCACACACCATCTGGACGCCCTGCAGAGGAACACAGCGACGGGTCAGACAAACACTCTAATCTGACCTTCTGGTTTGTTTTATTATTGGTTTGGTTAAGACTTGGTAATAGTTCAGGACTCCTGCCGTTTTCCTTTACTCATTTCTTCTATTTTCTGCCTTATTTTCTCTGATTCTTTATTCCTTTTGTACAACATGCACTTTGACCTGAGGAATGCCATTTCAATTTTCACTTCTCATGTAAAAATACCAAAGTGTCTTTGTATAATTCATAAACTTTCAATGAAAATAACATTTTAAGAGATGAATACCATTCTTAGTAATGGGCATTTTTCTATTTCAACTGCAGATTATGCAACAAAGTAATGGTCACAACTAGAATAAACATATCTGGGGTGACAAATGTAATATTTACATCAAAACTAGTTTGATGGAAACATCTAAATGGGACTTTTAAAACACATAATTATTATTATTTCAGAATCAGATGAAGAACTTTTACTTTGACTTCGGTGTTTAGAATTGTGGATTTTCTTTTAGCAACATTTATAGACGAAGTCAACTTTTGTGCTCATTAAAGCTGTTATAGAAAAATTCGCTTGAAACGTTTCTTTCATGCCTCTTAACATTCTAACATAGTATAGCTGTAAATATATTGTGGAGATTTAAAAAAACGCATTTGTCTAAAAATTCCCCGCAAACACTTTTTGGACCAGAGCAACCAAGTGTTTAGCGCTCTTGTTTCGTCTGGCAGAAGTGTCTCAGGGAAGACGCCCGAGGTGAGGCGCGAGTGTTCCGTAAACCTAGGTTGTTCTGTAGATTTGCCAGATCAGCTTTAAGAACTTGTCCTGGGCCAGGACAGATTTAAACCCCAACATTTACTTTGAGTCTTTTGACCCTAAATAACATTAGAAAATGATGGTAAATGGCCTGTATTTGTATAGCGCCTTCTTGTGGTTCTTCCCCCCCATCCAAGGTGCTTCAGGACACTTCAGTCATCCACCCATTCACACGTTGGCAATTATGATCTACAATGTAGCCACAGCTTCCCTGGGGCGCACTGACAGAGGTGAGGCCTGCCATGCACTGGTGCCACTGGGCCCTAATGTCCGATTTATTTTATTCTGGGACAATGGTTGACCCGATGCTGTCAAAAACAAAGCTGTCAATTTGCTGCAACGCTAAAGCAGCGTCAGCGATAGGGATGGGTACCTTTGACATTTGAATCGATCCGGTACTAATTCCCGGTACCTACGAATCGATACCGGTACTTAACGGTACCAATTTTTGATACTTTTGAGTGTTTAATATTTTTAATTCTCTTTTATAATTAAATATATATTTTTCTCAATATATAACCATATTTGATAAATATCACGATAAATAACATTCAACTGTTTGTATTTTAACATCGTCCTTGTAGCTTTATAAGCTGATAATTAAACTGAAGCAAACATCTTTACTGTGAACTAAATTTACTGTGTATCTTCATTCCTTTTACCATCTTTTTCATCTGATTTTTCCTACTGGGAAGTTAGAATTTCCGAGGAGAAAGCGAACACACCATTAGCTGATAACAATGGTGGCATAGGAAGCTAACATAACAAGCTAACGTTATCTTGAACAGTTTATTTAACTGCTAGAGCAGATTTAAACGATGATGCCTCACACTTAGATCGATGTCGCTGGTTTCATCTTCACCCAATCACCCGTCGCATTTAGTAAAGTGAAGCCAAACTTTAGAGCGCGTTCATGTTCTTCTAGTCGGAATTTCAGAGTTCCGAGGAGAAAGCGAACGCACCATTAGCCAAACGGAAGCTAACAAATCAAGCTAACGTTATCTTACATTTTATTTACCTACCGGAGCAGATTAAGATGAGGATGTCTCACTTAGATCATTGTCGCTGGTTTCATCATCACCCAGTTACCCATCACATTTAGTGAAGTGGACCCAAGCGTTAGCGTGCATTCTTTCTACCATGCTGCTCTGTTTACAACTGGCTCGCTGCGACCGATGACATAACGCTCTTGCGCATGCGCAGCTGTCTTGGCAAGTTCTCGTTGTGAAGGACGGGTACCGAAACGAGGCACCGTTTCAAATGAAGTGAATCGGTGCTCGGTCGGTACTGTGGAATTCGGTCGGTACCTTAAAAAGTACCGAATTCGGTACCCATCCCTAGTCAGCGAGCTGTAGGTTGTTTGTAAGTGGTCAAACTGTGGCAGTAATGTTGTGCAATCGTGTCACAAAAGTTTACGCGACGGAGCCATAAAGGAGGTATGGGGGTGGTCTCTGCACTGACGCCGACTTCCGTTTAGCTTGGACATAACTTGATTTTTATTCCGATTGAAGCCGTGCTCATTACGTTAAGGTGATCGGACCTCCAGCAAAATTCACGCATCGCCATCCCGGCATGGCTCGTTTATACGACACATCTTTGCGGTAATACTACGCTGATTTGCCAGCATGGTGTGTCTTGTAAAAAGGGCTACTGATTTGAGATTAGGTTTGTAGATTATATTTAGTCCTTTTTGTTTACTGTAGCTAGATTACAACACATTGTGTGTGTGAAGAGGCATCTTACCGTGTGGCTGGTCCAGCTGTTGGGGATCTCAGGTCTTCCTCTGTCCCTAAGGACACTGTCCTTCATGCTCTCCACACACGGGTGTTCCCTCAGGTTCCCAAATGGAGGCTCGTACTCCTTTACCTCTGCATGGGAGAAAACAGAAACAGAAGGACGGGTACAGATTTGTTTAACAAATATGAACAAAAGTTTCAATCTTGAAAAAGAACAAAAAACAAAACATTACGATGTGTAGATAAACAAACCAGGATTCATTAAAGAGAAATATCCTTGTCAAGTTTCACACCAACACATCAGTGGTCTGATTTCGTTCTCTCACACAACAAGATCCACGTGTTGTCAAATGGAAATGTACCGAGTCAGTTTACTCAGAGTGAGATTTCAACACCCTGCTGTGGAGGAAACAGGCTGCGAGTCAAAAGCGGATCCTTGTACAAATAAATGTTTCCAGGATCTAAATCGAACAAATCAGATTCCTGTTTTTCTTCAAGTACCATGGAAATATTCCCTAAATCAAACATAGTGAGACAGGAACAAATGGATGAGCTAAACTCTTAAAATAAAATACAACTGTTTTAAATAAGTACAACTGAGACTGTTTCACTGAAGCGGGAAGTCCCAAAATGTGTCGACACACCAAGGCTGAGGCCTCTGTTGGTGACCAGATCACAAATTCCAAGTAAGTAGTTTGGGGAAACTCGGACTTACCAACATACAGCCATAGGAAATGCCACGGAGCTCATTAGAAGAAAAACTGAACTCTGACCAGAACTTTTTAGTCTTATTCTTAAAACCAGATGACAACATATTCTACAAACACCATTTTAAATCACTTGAGTTCACAATGTCGCTGAAGCAAAAAGATCCCCCTAGATTCTGTGCAAGGTTTATGCCCCGCCCCCTCAAGATAAATGATTAGAACCTTGTAAGACTTTTGAGTCATTTACTGTGTGTGTGTGTGTGTGTGGGGGGGGGGGGGGGGGGGGGGGGGGTAAGGAAAGCAGAAAACTGCAAAATGACCACGCAAATCTTCTGCTGCCTCTGTTCGCTCGTGTAAAAAATGCAATTTTGATGTTTTATCTCCACAAATGACACAAGCCTGACAGAGTTCTGCCATGTTGTAGAGGTGCTAATGCTAATGGTTAGCTTGTAATAGCAAAGATGCGTTGTGCTCTCTCCTTGCTTCTGGATCAACAACAGCTTTCCACCGTCTAAAGCCAAAGTGGGAGAGGCCATGAATAACAAGTGTCCATGTGGGCTTTTCTGACTGGATAGTTTTCCCGTCTACTTTTCTTTCTGCAGCTAAAGCAGGAAATAGGCAGTGAAGTAAAATGTTCATGTATAAGCTTGGTTGAATAACCAACCAAATTTCAACAATAAATATAAGTTTGTCAGGGAATGAGACCTTTACTGAATCTGTCTCAGTTTAAAGCAAACAGTTTATCCTCAGAAACCATCTGTTCTGTTGGTTGTTTACTTCAAAACGGGTTAAAAAGGCTCAAGAAGTCTGCAGACAGGAACTTGATGCTTCTAGGATTGCCTACAAAGCGTTTCACAAAATGAAACTAATTTTTTCCAATCTAAAAACGATTCTTAAATCGTAAAACAGCAGCAAAGCGTAAAGCAATATTCAGGTTTTACTACATCCTAATATGAGGAAAAAATGAGCCACTTGTAAGAATTTAACTTTAAGCTGTAAAAAAAAGATTGTTTAAATTTTTGTAAAATAAGCACTTTTGTTTGCAGAATCAGATATTGTCATTCACAGGAATTCTGCAGAAATAAGTGACCACCAGAACGCAGCCACAAGAAGGAAGCGGCACCCTGTCTTATAACAGCTGACATGTTGTCTGGGGAATTTGTGATAGAAGCACTTTTCTCCGCTGAGCCAGTTGTCAGGCATGGCTGTAAAAACTGTCCTGAAATTAGCTGCATGTATCTGCTGTAACCTGTCATATGTTGTTCTCACTCAGCCCTCGGTCTTTCACACAAACGCTGGTGCTGCCATCAGCAAATCCAGATTCATCACGAGTGACAAGCAGACATGGACCAACATCTTCCCTTCGGTGTAAAGTTTGCTCATTTTTATCCCTTCATGCGACAAAATTAAACGATCTCCCACATTTTTGCCAGTTGCAGTATTTTTCACGACACTTTTCTAGAATTTGGTTTATGTTGAATGTCTCTGCAGGAAGCCAAGAAGGACAAATTAATCTTCACACATCTACGAAAGCTGGCCAATTTAGAGCTGATAAAAATCATAGCTGGAGTAAATCTGAGTAGAATATCATAGAATCTACTGAGATAATGAGGACAATGAGTTAAAACCAATAAATGTTTCTGCTAGAAGTAGAATATTCCTAAATACAGGCTGTGCAGAAGCCTGTTGTACTAAAATATAAAACCATGGCAGGAATTCATTGAATAACATATATTAGGGGTGAGCGAGTACACCACTATCTGTATCTGTACTCGGAATGGGCGTGGCATAACCCGGAAGTGGGCGTGGTTTACATCAATATATTATTTTAAGTCTGAAATTGATATGGACTGATCAGAAGTTGCTATGTGTATTGTTTATTTGATAACTATTTACAGAGCAGCCTCAGAATAGAGATTAAATATTTTGATCACAATAGTAAAGAAACTATTACAGAACAAGTGTTTCAATAAAATCAGAACATTAATATTTAAGTGCATGGATTAATACATCTGAACTCATGCAGTAGGAACTAGGAAACATGAAATGCTAGAACCAGACACAACTTTATATATATTTTTTATTTTAATTTGATTAAACTGATTTTTTTCTTAACGTTCTTGGCATTTTCCCACACAAAGTTAAACAAAACAATGTTGATTAAGGTGTGTGTGTGTGTGTGTGTGTGTGTGTGTGTGTGTCTGAGAGATAGAGAGGGTGAGAGGGAGAGAGATGGAGTTAAAAAAATTAAAAAACCCGACCGGAGCGGAGGTAGTAACGCAGCATGTCAGCTGTCTTGTCAAATGCACCATGTAAGTTACGAAAAAAGTAACTTTAAATATTCAACTGAAAAAGAGGCGAGCTGAAGAAAACCCAGGGAAAACTGAAGAAACGTGCGCAACAGTGAAGCAATCACAGCGAGATCTGTCTGTGTGTGTGCGTGGATGAGCCGGACGGACTGCGCTCCCGGCCGGCTAGAGAGTTTTGTGTGTAGGGAGGGGCGGGCTCTATGTGACTGGCCAATCACAGAGCGTGAAGAGAGTCAGTTACCCAATGAGGATTTTCCTTCAGCACGATTACAGATATTTACGAGGTTTACTCGTTTCATGCTCGTATTCGTCAAAAATGCTTTATCCGTACCGGATACTCGTCTGAAACGAGTATCCGGCTCATCCCTAATATATATGTACTAAGTTCTTAGAGGTTAGAGCTCTTCTGTAACATGAAGACTTCATTTAAAGTTGTAAGTAATGTAATTCCTGGGGTCATGTATGCCAACTTGATACTAGTGGGCGGTACCTTTTTTATTGCTTATTGATTTTACTAACTGTGCTTCATGACGTCTGAGAGGCAAATTCAAAACCACAGTTAACCTGTAGTGGTTGATTAAAAGCAGCTTGCACGTCAAGAAGTACCAAAAATTCTGTCCGTCTCTGAGCAGCTTTTCTATGTACATTAATAATGTTGTAATGGCCTCGGAGAAACGGTTTGTTCTGGGAAAAGTTACGATAACATATGTTTATAAACACACCTTTAAAGGTCCAGTAGAATGGGGATGAGCTAATTTGAGCGTCAAGTCAGCCGAGGGAAGGGTTTGAAGAGAAGAAAGTGGAAACTGGAAGTAAAGTCAAGGTTCCTCACTAATAGGCCTTTTCCAACGGCACTGTTCTGTTATAGATCCGTTGGAGTAAATCAGCCAATCAGCACTCAGCTCATTTAATATTCATGTCCTGGCCAAATGGGCAGGGTAAACATGTCTTTCCATTGTTGGATATTATTATAAGAGTTTATTTGGCCTTTTATCAGGGCTCCTGGGCCTTTTTGAGCTCCAACAAATTGTCATGACTCATAAAACAGTTTGTAAGAAAAAGTAGTTCTAGGATCTCTTTAATAAAACGCTATGACCATAACACATAAATATTTCAGAAAGAGGGAGAAAAACTGATTTTCACCATGTACTTGGGAGAAAAATGTCTGCTTCCCAAAGTCTTGGGTCTGGATGTTTGACTAATCTGTTCCCGGCTGGTTTTCATTACTCTGCGGTGGCTTTGACACTTGTTTTGTGTTGTGAAAGTCATGCAATACAGATGTATGCACGTTTATTGCACATTAGCAGAGCTTACTTTAGGACACATGGCACTGACGTACCCTGCCATTAACTACAGCTAATACAGGCCCTAACCTCGATGAAGAACACGCTACTTCAAGGAAAAACATTCCTAACCTCAAATAGGTAGAAGTTGAGTTACTCCCCACCTCTCCGTGCCCATACACAGTTACATGCTACACCACAGGGACTTAAGAGTTTTAAAGAATTAGATGTTCTGACATCTGGAGAACAGCTGTCCTAACCTCGCCAGTCTAACCCAGCCTCTCCCTCCAGGGAATGAAAGCATTTCTTTTTCTGCAGCTCCAAATTCAGCTCCACATCACTACTATCCCCCTTCTTCACCCCGCCCAGCCGAGGAACGCCATCACAGTTTAACCAAAAGCCCCAAATCTGCAACGGCTAAATTATACAGGAGGGAACATTTAGGAAACACAGAGGCAGAGATAAAACGGAGCGGAGCCTCAAATCCAGCTTTTTTCTTTTCTTGGAGCCGAGTTGATCTTTCCCATCTTTGTAGTCTTGGAAGATCACGGCTCTTTTGACAGATGCTGGGGTTCTTCTTGGCAGGCAGATCGCAGATCAGATCGCTGCGGGTGTGTGTCTGTGTGTACTGATCAGACATCTGTTGTGCACAAAAACACTCTGGGGGAGGTGGCATCAGAGACAGAAGAGAAATGGGGTTTCACCCGAGTCGTCATAATAACACCCTGGGATGTGTTTTCCTGAGCGTGGGCGTGTGTGGGCTTACTCACATTTTGACTCAAGTGAGGTGAGCTTTCACGGAGTGACTCACACGGGACGAACAGAAAACAATA